ATATAAACTTTTCCCATAATAAATATATGATGAACTTAAGTTACAAATCCAACTTATGCTCGAACACTAACAAAAAGGTTGTCAAAAAAAATATTAACATCCTCCAAAATATAGGTTTTATTCTCCATAACATTCAAAATTATTCCCTTTTTTTTTCGGGGGCTTAGAGCGGTGAACACGAGGCACCACTTCTAGTTTACATGTGCGAAGGTGATCCACATGTGTGAAGTTGTGATTTTGTTTACAACAGCAAAGAAGATAATATATATATATGGGAATTTATACAATGAGACCATTTATCTTTTATACAAGGGGGTCACAATTACTACAACCATCCGATGTGAAATCTGATAGTTTCAATGTGTCACAAAGTTCGAGAAAATTTCTTTTGAACTTTGAGGGCCACTCAATTTCACATCTAATGGTCAAGATTAATTGCGACCACCTTGTACCAAAAGTAAATGGTCTCATTATATACTTTCCCTATGTGTGTGTGTGTGTGTGTGTGTGTGTGCGTGCGTGCATGTGTGCGTGTGATGAACATAAGTTACAAATCCAACTTATGCTCGAACACGAACAAAAAGGTTGTCAAAAACAATATTAACATCCTCCAAATAGAGTTATTATTCTCCATAACATTCAGAGTTATTCCTTTTTTTTTTGAGGGCTTAGAGCTGTAAACACCAGCCATCACTTATAGTTTACATGTGTGAAGGTGATCCACATGTGTGACACTGTGATTTTGTGAGATACCTTAAACCAAGGGATCCCTTGCCCTCTATACATATATGCATTGTCTAATAGATCAAGGGGGATAGTGATGCGTCCTACTATAAGGATGAGGTGCTTCTGCGATCTTGGCTTTTATGCCTCTTATTCCTGTTTTTTGCAGCAATCACATGAAAGTACCTTTCGTTCAAGCTGAGGGGAGGAAGATTTAAGTAGGCAAATATCGACAATCAATGGTATTTCAATCAAGGTTTTAAAAATCATGATCTGGATTGGAACTGGCCAATCCGGATTGGGAATTGATTAGGCCGATCCGGATCGTTGAATATCAGGAACTGGCCGGTTCTCTAACTGAACCGGTAGAGAACTGGCCATTTCAACAATCCGGATTGCTAAATATCAGGAACCGACCGGTTCTCTGACCCCATCCCAGTTTACTTTTTAATATTTTTTTCAATTTTTTTATTCCCTATTTTTTAATCTTTTTATTCGCCGGTTCACTAGGCCGGATCGCCGATCCGGACGGCCATTCCGGATCAGTTTTCTGGAGGAGCAATCCAGCTCACCAAACCGTCTTTTTAAACTGTGGTTTGAAATAAGTACACGATCAGAAAACAACCATAATTCTTTTTTTCTTGTTCTTTTTTTTCGAATGGTCACCTATGATAAATTTGAGGATTTGTGGAAATAATAAGCATCCCAAATCACTAAGTGTAATGCAGCCAATAACAATTGGAATGCTCTAGCTAGCCATAGGTCTCCAATACAAGTTAATGAGTTTAAACTAGAACTCATCCTGAATAACACATCTATCATAATGAAGACAATACTCAATTGACACCAAACACTAGCCAATGTGAACAAAATTCCATTCAAACCAGAGAAGAATATGATATTACCGTAGCCAATGTGAACAAAATTCCATTCAAACCAGAGAAGAATATGATATTACCGTAATGAGTTGGGTATTCTCACTTTGGGTGATGACCAGGATATTGTCCACCATGATCTTTTGCTCTCTTCTATTCTCATTTGTGACTGTTCACGTTGTTTTTTATTGACATCCTCCAAGGCAACCAGAGGGAATAATGAATTTTCCCCAAGAAGAGAAGAAACAGAATAGGAGAATCCCTTGACTTGCTCAATCATAGCTCCAGGCTTATTTAGCTCACCAAATCTCAACACTATACCATCAACAGGACTGGCCTGTTTCAAATGGTAAAGAACTTACGATCATAAGCATCTATTTCTGAAAAATAAGAAAATACTGAAGCTTCAAGAAAAAATAAATAAATATATATATATATACACACACACACACAGGGCATTGATTTCATGCAACGGTTGTATAGTAATATAATGCAACCACCTTCAAAACCATGCTAGGGCCATTTGTTTGATCCAAAATTTAAAATATGCATTCTTTTCATTCTAATGAACAATCACAAAAAAGAAAAATTTGACAACGCAACCTAGAAAGTTTTTTTTTTCTTTCCAAATTTTTTAGATAATTTTATTATCATTAGATTAACAATATTAAAAAAGAAAAAAATGATTTTGAATTCATAAAGACCTAGATCTTGAAATTCATCAAATGGATGGTGTAGATTCATTGTTGGAGGGGACTCATTTTGACCATATATAGAGTGCAAATTTGCTTCTTCTTTTTTTTTTAGATTTGATTATTGAGATGAATAGAGTGTGTGTGCAAATTTTTAGGTCATACAAATACCACAAACATAGTTTTCTAGAAGTGTGGTTGCATTATACTATGATACAACCGTTGAATGAATCATTGCCCACGTATATCTATATATATATATATATAGAAAGTTGGAAAACCTGCACAAATTATTTATGCACCCCAAAAACTTGCAACCTCACAAAGAGTGCTTTTACCAGTCATTTTTTCTATATGACTAATTCCCCCAGCCTGACATTTAAATACCAAACAAGGTAATTTTAGCAAACGCATCCAATTGGCTGGGGGCTAAATCGGCCATTTGGAAGACAAATCAAGGCCTAGTTTGAGATTCAAGTTTCTGGAGCACATGAAATGATTTATGCAGGTGTTCTAGGCACTGTGTTGATAGTTCTCCCAAAAAAAAAGAAAGAAAGGAAGAATGTAGATTAAAGGCTAGAAGCAGCAAGTTACCAGTTACCAGACTATAAGGATCAGGGTCCCCAAAAACTTGCAACCTCACAAAGAGTGCTTTTACCAGTCATTGTTTCTATATGACTAATTCCCCCCAGCCTGACATTTAAATACCAAACAAGGTAATTTTAGCAAACGCATCCAATTGGCTGGGGGCTAAATCAGCCATTTGGAAGACAAATGGGAGGTCAAGGCATTGTTTGAGATTCAGGATTTTGGAGCACAGGAAATGATTTATGTAGGTGTTCTAAGTACTGTGTTGACAGTTTTCCCAAAAAAAAAAAGAAAGTAGATTAAAGGCGAGAAGCAGCAAGTTACCAGTTACCAGACTATAAGGATCAGGGTCGATTGGCCTATAACCTTCTTTGAGGGTGCGAACAAAGAAATCCTGTAAAGAAGCATATTCATCCAGTGGTAGAGCAACTTCTTCCAGATCTGCAAAGGAGTGACTGTGTCTTAATTTTTTTCCATACTAGAGCACACTAGTGCATTTGAGAAACTAAACAAGCTGCAAGATGCAGAGCTAAACCTCATTTCATGGTATTACACTAATAATATTTTTAAATCAATTTGCTATTTCTCAGTGAGAATATATAAAACAGTTCGAGATTTAGGACTCCTTTGGTTCAAGGAAGAAATGGTACATTCACAAACATAATTTGCTTGTTAGAGGGTAATAAATATTTTTCACTGTATAACAATGAGAAAGACAGGAACAAATCTTTCTCTTCTTTTTTTGCCCTTTCTTTTCTGGTATTTTTATTTTATTTTTTTGGGGGTGGTGGGAGAGGGTTTGTTGCAGACAGTAATAATCTCTAAGAACCATTTGTTACATTGAGAAGATGTGGAGAAAGAATGTAACCATACTTGAATGGAAAGCACGAGCCCAGCCACGATACACATAAGGGCGAAGCCAAACAGGAATTTCCTGCAGATAACAAATAGGTAAAGATTCCACAAAAAAAGAAGTTCATAACATACACTGTCAAAACCAGAAGTCATTGCATATAACTGGAAAAAAAAATAGATAAAGAGACTGAAAACAGGAATAATGCCAAGGTTCCAAGCGCCAAGGTGGTGTCTTGATTCAATAAGACAAGATATAGTACTCCTACACCAAAACAATCAAGTCGTTGCTACAAAATAAGAATAAATACAATACATGAAAGACTTACCACACTCGTAATGAAACCCCAAGCGCGTGAAATAGACCGCAACGGTAGCAACCTCAAGAATGCAGCCTATGTTGAAGAGTTAAGGTTTTCTTAATGAAAACTTTGCAAGCAACTTAGTATATAATTAGAAACCACAATGCATCGTAATGATGATAAGTATGCAAATACTCACTTTAGCATCAGGTTGAAACTCCAACTCTATTCCCTTCTGCCTTGCTTCCTCCATCTGCAACTCAGTTATTAAACCAATAAGACAAAAACAACTTACAAAATAAATAGGACTAAACAAAAATTGGTGGCAAGCATAAAAAAAATGAACTAAAATATACAAATTTGTTAAAAGGCGGATCAACACTAGAGAAAACAACAATTTTATCTTCATATATATTTAATATACACAAGAATAAAAGAACAAGTACAACCCAAGGCTAAATGCACCTAAACGATCACAAACCCCCATTGAACCTTGCTTCGATTAGCTCATAGCACATAATAAGACTGGATGGGACTGAGTAACTCTATGCTGAAAGGACCGACTTTAACATTTATAGGGTAAAGCTATACATGCTCTTCATGTTTCAATCACTAAAAACCATCGCAAATTGAGAACCAGTAACCATGGGATTTGTGCTCTCACCTCCTAGAACCTTCGAATATTTCAAACATAAAAAATTAGAATATAGCAATTGATTCCATGCAATGTCTATTTGGGTGGATTTGACTTATATAGGTGTTATATCAGCTGAAGTGGTACAAGTCCCCCATTTCAGCTATACCAACTCCATCGACAAGTAAGTAATCAAATAAAGCAAATCCAAAGGGAAGAAGGAGAACATACAGAAACCAATAAATCTAACAAATTCAGTCGAATCTATGCCTTGGATTAAAAACAAATGAAATGGTTGCTACATTAGGTATCAGGTATTGAGCTACCTTCTTGTCCTCATAAAGGTGACGAGCATGAAGAAGACCCAGCATCACAAGAGTAGCCAAAGTTGCACCAGGTATAAAAAAGGGATTATCTGAAAATGCACGTAAAAAAATTATTCATACAAAAAACCAAGAAAAGAAAGGCCAACAACCAGCTATAATTTCAACTAGAAACCCAGAAATTAAAATCAAACTGAATGTCACTAAAACCCTGGATAGACAAAAAATGCAAAATCTCAAAGTAACTCATTTACATAGACTAATCTCAGTAAACTAGTGAAAACCCAAAAGGAAAAACTGAATCAAACATAGATCTATACCAACAAAACCCAGTAAATGAACCATAAATCCTAGCAACAAAACCCATAAATGAACAATAAATTCACAACAAAACCAAGTAAACAAACCCAATTTTGTTAAATGTAATCTCCAAACTTTGGTTAACACTTGGATAGCAAAACCAGTGAGCAATTAATAATCTCAAAAAACCCATGAAACCAACCCAATTCAATTGCATAACCTCACGAAAAAGAAGAAAAAACAAATCAACAGTTCTCAGTGAATAGCTTCACTAGAAACCCATGGAACCAAACAATAAGAATTAACGGTGAGTACTCTAATAGAAACTCAGGATAGTATCCAATTATCAGGTTCAAATATAGGAACAGAGAGAGGGGGAGAGAGAGAGAGCAAACAATTCGAATAATCTCGACAAAAACCAACGTACAATAAATAAATAAATAAATAAAAACACAGACCACCAAAACAGGAGAAAAAGAAGAGGAAACTCAATGCATGAAATCGCGTTTAAAATAGATGGGTACCTTCAACGTTGGTGCCGCCATTAATGGAAGCTCCACCGATTCGAAAGCTCCTTCGAAAAGAAGTAAAGAAGCGGTGAGCGGGAAAAACACGAGAAAAGCGACGGTGGTGAAGAGGGTGAGGAAAGAGAGGCCATCTTGAGGAACTTCTGAACCCCATTTTGGGCGTGGGCGTGGGCGTGGGCACAAGCACACTATCGAGAGACTCAAGAATATGGAGAAGATGGGGTTTCTACACTGTTTATCTCTTTGTACTAGGATTTAGGAATAGGACAGTATTATGAGGTACGGCTCCGGGAATATTGTCCATTGAGGCGAAAGGACAGACACTTGGGGGTTGGGTTTTTAGAGAAACAGGGACTTGCGGCTGGGTTTAGAAAGAGGATAGATAGCTCTTTTTATTTTATTTTATTTTAAGAGAAATGTGAATGACCATCTCCCCCACATCGCCATTAAAATTAGTACGGAATTATAGAAAAAAACTAAATCTCTATACTTGAAAAAACTACAAGTCTCCATAATTAAATTTTTTTTAAAAGTATGGATTTATAGAAAAAATCAAATCCCTACACTTAAAAAACTATAAGTCCCCACACTTTAAAAAACTTTTTTAGAAGTATGTGCCAATTTTAATGATGATCCTCTAATATCTTATACACATAGATGGGAAAAGATCCTAATATCATTTTTTTTTTTTTTAATATGCGGTTTGTATAGGGTTGAGGCTCTCTTAAAATATTGATTTTATGCCTATAATTACTAAGTGCGGTTTGTATAAAGCCTAAGCTCTAAAGAATCAAATTAGAGCCTATTTTCAAATAATGTTTGAGAAATGTGGTTTTAATATTGAAAATCTTTGTAAGAGCTTTAAAATATATTTTCATCTTTATTTATAAAATTTAAAGCTTCAAAACTAGTGTAGATTGAGCAAATCTATGAAAACTTGAAAATTTTGAAATTTGTCGGTCCAAAAATACATTACATAATACACTATTTCCAAAAGTTGAAATCCATTTTTTCTCATGTTCATGCATCTTGTTGTTGAGATTATCAATTTGAGGATATTTAAGCCTCAAAACAACCTTTTCTAGTGAAATTTTTTATGTAGGCTCTAATTTGATTATTTAGAACCTCATTTCTATATAAACTTTTCTCATAATTATTTGGGTGCAGTTTTTAGAGGATCGAGGCTCTAAACAATCAAAGTCAATGTCACCTTCAAATAGTGTCCAAATATGTTTTTCCAATACTTAAGCAAATAGAGAAATAGATGCGAATTTTTCTTTAAAGATGAGATAAAGATACCAAAAAATTTCATCTAGTGAGTTGGATAAAATATGCACTTCTCAAAGTGAAGGGGGATTGGGTATCCGAAGATTAAAGTGGGTTAAGCAAGCTTTAATTGTTAAATGGTGGTGGCATGCTTTGCAAAAGAATGAGTGCTTATAGAAAGAAGTACTTCGATTTAAATATGGTATGGATCCACATTTCAATGTTACTACTCGTGGACAAGGTGATGGGCAGTTTTGTATGCGCAAGGCTATTAACTCAATGAGATCTTGTGTTCTTAATAACTCCATATAATCAATTGGTAAGGAGGGTGATTTTATTTTGGCATTCAATGTGCTGTGGATATGCATCTTAAGTTTCCATACCCAAATCTTTTTCTTAGAAGTGCTCAACTTATGGCCAACGTTAATGAAGTGAGACTCTTTATTGGGAGATCAGTGGTATGGAAGGTTACTTGCAAGTTACCTCCCAACGATATGGATCGATATAAAGAACTTCTAAAAACTTTGGATGGTATTTATATCTCAAACAATGGTAATAACAAAATTATTTGGGAGTTTGAATCAGATGGTCTTGACTCAGTTAAATCAACCTATTACTTACTTTTTTATGACAGGATTAGATGGGACCAGTGTTTTAAAAAATGCCGAGTTGAACCGGACTCGCCCGGTTCGACTCGAAAATCGTGAAAAGGGGACTGGATCGCCTAAAAAATCGGAAATCGTCCGGTTCTAGAGAGAACCGGATAATTCTGTACAGTGAATCGCCGATTCACTGTACGGAATCGGCGAGTCTGAACAGTGAATCGGAGAGTCCAATACGGAATTTTTTTTTTTTT